CCAACAGTTCATTACAAAGGAGCAAATTTTTCCTAATATATACTAATATATTCTATACAGGTATCAAGAAAATATGTTTTTTTTTTTTTCTCCATAAAACTATTTGAAACAATTGTGATTGTGTAAGAGTTTGCTAACAATACTAATTTCAAACTATTCTGGGTAAAATAAAGGTTTATTTTTGTATTTGTTGACAAAACATTCAAGTATTTTTTTCTTATTGCAGCAATTATCAGCTAACAAAATATGCTAAATGATAAAACAGCATAAATACGGATGACAGGAATAGATTCTATAAAAATATGAAGATTTAAATAACAGTTAAATGATTGGGTAAAATGCGGGTGTGCTTGGGTAAACGTGTAATGCAGAGATGTCTGTGTTTGTCTGTAAAGCCTCAGTATGGAAGATGTTTTGTTATTCCGGTCAGCTGGCAGAGTTGTTTCATCTTTCAGGGGTGTTTTTTCCTCCATGAGAAACAAAACTGGAAACATACATTTGAAACCAACTTCACTTTCCAGCTTGTCTCTGAAGCAGGTAATCATTTTTACGGTTTAGACATAACAGATCACACCGTCAGTGGAGAGTTTATAACTGATAAATGAAAACACACTCAGCTTTCAGCAGCTCCTCTTTAAAATGATTCATAGATATTACCCAGTGAATTTACAATGTCCAGCTATTTCATTAAGTCCACCTCCTTGTTTCTACACTCATTGTCCATTGTATCAGCTCCACTGACCATATAGGTGCACTTCGTAGTTCTACAGTTACAGACTGTAGTCCATCTGTTTCTCTGATACTTTGTTAGCCCCCTTTTACCCTGTTCTTCAGTGGTCAGGACCCCCATGGACCCTCACAGAGCAGGTACTATTTGGGTGGTGGGTCATTCTCAGCACTGCAGTAACACTGATGTGGTGGTGGTATGTTAGTGTGTGTCGCGCTGGTGTGAGTGGATCAGACACAGCAGTGTCTGATAACAGCGCAATAACAGGATATTGTTTTTTAATGGAAGTTTTATGAAGAAAATATATATTTTCTAAGTACCACAAAATAATGTTAGAGTTTTTAGTGCAATTCCTGATGATGTGGAAATTCTGCTTTTTAAGATTCTTCCTCTCTTCATCTACCAGTGTTATTCAGTGTACACACCAAACATTTCACCCATGAGAAAATTAGTACTGTTTGTAGTCGTTTTTAGAAAGACTAATTTGGTGCTTATAAAGAATTTGGTCTTTTGCACTAAACTGGTGGAAGTCACTGTTCAGATTATTCATAAATGTGACCCAGGAAATTAAAGATTAGATAAAGATTCAGAAATTTAACTGTTTTATTTTGATAATCTTCATAAACAATGAAATGCTGTCAGGATTTCTGAAGACATGTAATGTGAAATATTCACTCGCTGATCTGCTCACCAACCAGAATTCGGTATCAGGCCAGTTTTAATACCCCAGATCTGATTTTTAATGGAATACATATTTCTACTTTCTAAATTTAAAGGAACGCGCTGCACAAATGAAACGTTCTTCGTTTTTAGCCGTTTAGCTCCACTCACCCCTGTTCATTTAAGACTCTCTGGCGCCATCTGGCGTTTTTCAGTCGTATCTTTGATATAACAGGACAGCTAGGAAGCGGCCTTTATCACCGACTCCGCTCGCACCACCGCTTTATTCTTGCGGTATTTCTGTCTTTTTCGGTGACGCTGCAGCTTCGAGTAATCAGACTTTTTCACCGTTTCACTTTATCCTCCAAATATTGTCAGTTTATTCTTGTAACTTCACGCCTTTATTATCGAAATATTACAATTTATTCTCGAAATATCACAATTTTATTCTAAAATCTAGAGCAGAAGGGAAAGTTAAAAATAGTTTTAATCGAAATAATTATCAAAATCTTAGTTTCAAGCTATTTGCATTTAATTTCCATCTAAAATTAAAGGTTAAAAAGGTAATAGGATTGTGAATTTAGCCATAAATAAGCAGCTTTCAGGAGCGGTTAGCTGGACACATGTTGCCCATCCAGCTTTACTCAGGCAGCCTAATCAGTGTTTTGTGTGTAAATTGAGAAAACAGAATGAGAACACTGACCTGTCTGGTGGTCATTGTGCAGAAAACAACAAGATGATGCAAATTCATCTTTGTATCACAATAAATGGAATGTTCTGTTTTTTAAATTAAATGAATTGATGAGTAAAAATAATTATTTTTATATTAAATTAATTTAATAATTGATAAAAACAAATGAAATCCATTGCCCTAAATAACACATTACAGAGCAATCCTGATATTTGTATCCTGACGTCCTGTTGAAACACTGTAAAAAGTGGCTGTCAGATCTACCTAAAATACCTTTATACCTCATGTGGTATAAAGTAATTGAACTAGTTTTACTCAACCTGAAAATGACTTTGATTGAAAGAATCGTTCACTCATATTTATGTGGGTTGAATAAAACTAGTTAATTTTCTTGTTACCACATGAAGTCATGTTTCAGGTTGATCTAACAGCCACTTTTTACAGTGTAATTGTTCAACAGTGACCAGTAGCTGATTCTAAATGCATCTAAAGATGTTTTACAGGAAACTAGTGGTCTCTATTGGAAACCATCAATCCAATTCCAATTAGAAAGCAAAACCATAAGGTTTCAATCCTAATGCTTTCTGATGGTCCTGTTTCAGCAGGGACAGTTAATAATTTACATAAAGCAGATGATCAGAGCCAAATTAGCCCAGCAAAGTGAAGAATCCCTTTTAAAGTATCTAAATGTAGATTTGGGTAAAACGTTGAGTATAAAGTTAAACTATAATTGGAGCTTCCTGTGTATGGTTTACATAGACTACTATCATATTAAACTACAGGCTTTTTCACAAGAGAGCCAAGCTAATGTTGATTCTGGTCTCAGCTCAAGCTCTGTCGCTGTCCCTTTTATCTTGCTGGTGTTGTGATAAATCGTGCTATCTTGTGGGAATGAGTTACTGTCTGTATCGGTAGAGCTCTACATGAAACTGTAGGTGTGATGTTCTGATAAATTACACTAAGTTAACTTCTTATACAACAGCTTCTTGGTCAGTTGTCCCCGTTCCACCTTATATGGGGCAGCAGACACATTATGTCAGGCCACTGAGGCGCTCAGCATTTAAGGTGAAATGGGAAAATTAAGGGCATTTAAGGTGGAAAATCCTCCACTCGATGGGATAGACAGATCGTTAGAACACTGGCTCTCCAAATCTGACCTGACTTCTGCATGATTATTTCAAGCTTTACAAGGTGACTCGCAGCGGCACAAGAACACCATATTTTGGCAGATTTTTTTTTCCTCTTTACTCAGTAATGTGAATTCTTTCAAATTTAACAAACACGTCTTACATAGTGCAGCTGTAAATAAATAAAAAAAAATATTACATTATTTTTTGCGTTCAGGTTCATTTCTCTGGCAGTAGAGAGTACTCAGAACCAGTAAGATGTATGAGAGATGTGATGTTCCTAGACTGTTGTTTTGAACAGTTATGCACTAAAATTGTCTTACTGAAACGCAACAGTTTACTGCAGAAAATCTGTCTTTCTGTAGTGACAATTCTTAATGTTGATTTTCACTGATTGACCTTACTTCAAACAATGGGATCTCACCATGTGGCCATGAGGACTAGTGACATGACACTATGGGCATTTTTTATAATTAAAATTAAACTCATAATAAATCTAAACTTTACTTTAGGAAACAATTTAAAGGACTCTAGTAATATCTTTAAAATAGGATTATGGTTTGGAACAGATACCTCCTAATAGGAAGTACCCTATAAATGATGATTGTGTATATATTTAGCTTTTTACTATCTATTTTAATGCCTTTGGTTTAAATAGATCAGAACACAATCCTGTTAGATCTGAAACATCATTGTATTTTGAATAGTTTTTACTCTGGGACTGCAGTTTAGTCTAATTCAGTAGAAAAGCTCCAGATACAGTCATTTTGTTTTTGCTATGATATTTAAAGGCCTATTTTAAGTACCCAGACTAGCACAATCGAAAATCTTCTATGAGCAACTGACACAACATATTATGTACCCTGCTTGGTACAGGGTTACCAGGACCCTCCCCTGGGGTTAGTGTTTCTCTGCGAATTCCTGGTGGCCGGGCTCAGGTTCCTACTCAAACACACTCACTAAACCTGGCAAATAACAGATGAGTTAACTCAGGTGTGTTTGAGCAGAGCAGAGCAGATCAGCTGAGGCAGATTTCTGTTTATATGCACTAAAAATATATCAATATACCAGCTGAGATTAGACACCCAGATTACATCATTTCAAGAACAAACTTTTTTACACAATTTCTAAACAAACTTCATGAGTCTCTTATTTTTACTAATTTTTACTACCACAATTGTCAATTTCTGTTTATATTAATGACACTTTTTCAAACTATTTTTATTATTTATATTTCCCCTTTTAACCTTTTGATTATTGTTTATTTTATTGTGTATGTTTCTTATGTTTATCTTATTTTACCAGATTTTTCAGCTTTTACATTTGTAAGTTTACTGTTATTTCTAATTTTAGCTCTCTGTGAAGAACTTTGGGTATTTATTCATTTTTTCCTTGTAGAGACTCACATCGATTATGACTGATTTCAGAGGTTTCAAAGTAGCATCATGTAAATGATCATAAACATGAAGGTCATCTGGGGATTTTCCACTCTGCACAGAACAGAGCTCATTCCAGGAATGAACGATCAGTCTGGGGATTTTCACTGCTGATGTTCTGTTCACTGAAACTTCAGCTCTTTACACCTCTAGAGCATCAACACTCACTCTGCCTTATATATCTTCACACTATCAATCATTTCAAAGTCAGACTGACATTAATAAAATTAAGACAAGCACACGTTATATTAAAAATAATTTTATTAAAATAAAGTTGTTGGTTTTTTTTTATATTGTTGTGATTTTTCTGGTATTTTAGGTCAGTGGTTCCCCACTACTGACTGTGTGCTCACACTGTTTTACACAGCAGCTCCTTTATCTGTGTCCAGATCTGGATGGTCATCTACAAAACACACACACAGGATTGTAATACAGTGAGTTTTAACTGAACACCATTATTAAAGCTCAGCAGCACGAGATTCCTGCCCAGTGAATTCTGATTGGATAAACAGAGATTGTTTGTAATAACATACCCTTTTATTCACCTCCACCTGCTGACTCCACGGTCACTGTGTAGATGTGAATGACCTTCTCATTCCTTTTGTCCATTACTGTATAAACTCCACTATCAGATGGAGTCACTGCTCTCAGCTGAAGAAGAGTGGATGCTCTTTGTTTATATTCCGGTTTACACTGTAGTGACCGTCCATCCACTGTACAGATCTGACCACTGGATGGTCCAGCTGCACCTGTACTTTTATAATACACCTCCACTTCCTCTGGAATGTCCAAATCCAGGACCAGAGATTCGCCAGCCTTTATCCGAACTGAAGTACTCAGTGCTGAGAAAAGAAAAAAAAAACACAAAAAGGAGCTTCATTAAAATCAGTCCCTGTGCACCACTGTGTGTGTGTGTGTGTGTGTGTAATAATGTCTGGTGCACCACACATGACACTAAGACACTGCACAGTACAGTGGTAGAGTTTGTGCTGTGACCTATGACACTGCAGAAAACAGATGGACACTTACGCTCAATCTGAAGACGCACATCACAGATGTCTTTATCATCACACTGACACGTGTACCAGTCTCTCTTACTGAAATCAGCATCAGTGATGGTGAGAGAGAGATTCCCCTTCAGGTACTGATCATGGATCATCTGATATCCCTCCTTTGATCTACATGAAGTCTGATCACACTCAGCCAGGACATCAGTGGGTTTATGGAACACAGACCATCTGACCAAACCAGAGCATCTCTCAGAGCAGGGCAGAGTAGCAGAGTCATGAAGATTCACCTTCACTGGAGCAACAGCTGACAATATCTCTGAAAGAGACCAAAGGGATGAAAATGAGGATAAAACAATAACCGTCCAACTTCAACACAAGTTCCTGCTGATAGAAGAGCAGATTTTAACTGTCACCATCAAACAGAAGATTTAAAATGCAGCATTTATAAGAACTAGTTTAAAATGAAGGTAAGTGAAGTATATTATATATTATGGATAATACAATATTACCAATATAATATAAAATATAAAACAGTGTTATATAATATAATAATCCATATAATAATATCATTCCTATTTACCAAAGTGAAAGTAAAATACAGTAAAGTCTTTAATAAGATGATGGAGTGTCAGTTCAGTTCTTACCAGTAGTGAATGTAGAGATCAGTAGGATCAGGATACAGAGAGCAGAACTGCAGGACTGCATGACTGACCTACAGACACACACACACACCATCAGTACTGACCAGGAGAGGAGAGAGAGAAGAGAGAAAGAGAGAACAGAACTGACCTACAGACACACACCATCAGTACTGACCAGGAGAGGAGAGAGAGAAGAGAGAAAGAGAGAACAGAACTGACCTACAGACACACACCATCAGTACTGACCAGGAGAGGAGAGAGAGAAGAGAGAAAGAGAGAACAGAACTGACCTACACACACACTCCTACATCTGATCACACAGACACACCAAAGAAGAAACTGATGAAGAACCAAACTGTCTGTGAAGTTTAAATGGTCAGATTTGACCACACTGTAATGGTCAGATTTGACCACACGCTGTAATCAATAAACAACACTGTCCTGCAGGCTACCGGCTCTGAATGAGTTCATCAGCTACGTTTAGGTGGCAGTAATAAAAGCAGTCCAGTGAAAATCACTAATAAACAAGCAGCATTCAGGATAGTAAAATATGATGTGACCAATGGCGTTCCTCCAGCTCTTTAGCCCCGCCCACTCTCAGCAGTCAGAATAATCCAGTGTGCTGGTGTAGTAGAGATGAAGGAGGATTCAGGCTGAAGTCTTATTTTCTGTTTTATCTGATTTTCTCTGTCATGTTGAGATTAAACACTAAACATAACCGGTTTCCGTTTGGCAGTAACAACAGTGGTGCAGTGCGCAGACACTGATAAGAGAAAAGGGGACCTCGACATGGTGACATACTAATATCTTAATCATATTACAGTCAGAACTGAAACAGCTCATCACTGTCTGCTTTTCAGCTCCTTCTGTTTATGATAACCACACTAGAAGACTCTGAGAAGACTTCTAATAGACTGACTCCCTCTCACACCTAAAGACAGTGTCACGGCTTTTAGTCACAGACTGTGATTTAGCAAAGACTGTGAATCTTGCAGGGTCACTGTTTACAAGACTGCAACTAGAAGATTATTTCCCATCATGCACCTGGTGGAAATTCAGAAGCAGATAAACCTTTTCCTTCCACTCTGTAGTGGTACAGATGGGAAAATAAGCTGGCTGGGCGTGTAAAGATCTGGGGCTCAGTTCACTGTAGAGCTGTTTACTCTGACAGATCATCACCCAGAGTCTTTAACTAACCTGTAAAATGTGCAGCTACTTCTTTAATTTGATATAAAAATTTACACATCAACAGAACTTGCAGCCATTCAGTATTGTTGATTAGGTGTCATGAACTAAACCAAAAACACACAAACAAAATAAAAACACTGTAACAGTAAACAAAAACAGGAAATCATTGCTGATTCTTCAGTAAAGCCGTTCTTAAAGTCCTCTGCGCATTTAATCACATCACTGTTCCACTCAGAGAACCTGAGATACTAAAACAGCCAGTTTACATTTTCATTAATAAAAACAGATTATTGTTTTAAAGTGGAGCAGATTTGTCTTTTTACAGAGATTTCAGGCATAAGTCAGTCTTTCAGAAAAAGACTGACTTAAGACTGCTGTCCTGACCACCTCACACCAACCAATCGAGACGACGCGAGTGCGACGCAACTCCAGCAGGACTCTCATGATTTCATTCCGACACTGTAAATTTGTCTGCGACAGTGAAATCACCTGAAAAGTCATTTGGTGTGAGGCTGGCATTAGTTCAGTAAAGCAGTGCTGACTGAAGATGAGCTGCATGCAGTTTGGCGAGTGTCGGGCAAAGGAACAATCGATTTTGTGTTGGGGCAAAAATTAATGGGGCTCTATGGGAGGAATGAGGGATGAAAAAACAACACATAGAGCAGTGCAGGTCAGTATTGCTGTGGATTAGAGCTGTGGCTGTGGCTGTGCAGTAGAGTTTGAGGACCTGCCCTGAGGGAGTGCATGCAGTTTGGTGGCTGTCGGTCAAAGAAAATAATGGGGCTTCTGTGGGGGAGCAGCATGAATGGGAGTCTATAGGAGAAACGAGGAATGAGAAAAAAAGAGTCAAACAGATGAGTGCAGGTCAGAACAACACTGAATTCATGCTTGGGGGTCTCTGAGATAGTAAATGTGGAGCAGAAGTACAGCAGCTAGGCGTACAACTTTTTTATCTTATGCAAAAAAAAATCAAGAATTAACAAAACTATCTAGAAATCTAGAAAACTGCAGTGTGAGCTAGCGGACAAAGAAGAAGAGGAGGAAGAATATAATAATAGTGTTGTTTTGCTAATTATTGTTATTTCTATTTTTATTCCGAGCTCCGCTGCCTGGGCCCCGCCCCCTGTTACGCAGCGAGGCCGCTCCATTACACTTCACGTTCGACCTGGGCGGCTGAGCTGCCAGCTAGGGGCAGTGACAAGGAGGCAGAGCAGCGAGCTCTCGTTCCCTCTCGGCTCAGGTGCTCACTCAGCCTTTTAAAAGAGCTGAGAGGGAACAGAGAGAGAAGCTGGAGGGACAAGCAGCAGCAACTAAAGATGGAGGAAGAGCTGAAAAGCTTAGAAGAAGGATTGAGTAAAAAGACTGACTGACGCCACTGAAGAGTGGCCAGCGTACCTTTGGTTAGGTTTTAGAGTTTGTTTATTTTGTGTGGTTAAATAAATATGGCTGCTGCAGCCCTAAACCCTGCCTCCAGCGTCCTCCTTGAGCCCGGGGGAGCACATGCCGTGCTACAGTATTATAGATGGTCGTGATAGTAGTTTTGGTTGGTTTAGCTGAAAGTTAACTGTTTTATTCACACTGTTAAACTGTTACTGTCAGATTTACTCTCTCTCACTCTCTCAGAAAAGAAAGTAAGACACTGTCACTGGGCCAGTACCAGTCTGGTCACTGGGGCAGTACCAGTCTTGTCACTGGGACAGTACCTGCACAAAAAATATACCGGCACAGCAGCTTTTCTCTGACTGTACATGACGTGAGTTTGAACTTACAGATAAACGAAAGATGAAACAGATGAATCACAGAACGGTCTGTGAAGTCTGTGTGAGCTCATTTCACTACTTGTATGAGAAACACAGGACCTTATTCCCATCAGTAACACTTTTAATGCTGATTTACAGCACATTAGAACCACGAGATCAGCCTCCTGATGATGATCAGATCTACATCTCTAGATCTCAACTCTTAAAACTGTGAGTGTGGAATGAGACAGATATATAATCTGTTTCTGTCTCTTCAGGCTGGACTGATCTGTAACGCCTCGGTTGAAGGAGCTCTCAGCTCAGAGCTACAGGAGAGTCCTGATTCACACACTTCCTCTGTGTAAAGCCCCTGTGATCTGTGGTCTGTGGTCAGCTGTAGCTCAGCTCTGCAGAACAGCAGGATTACACACTCTTTAACTGAGCTCTTCTACTAATACACCAATAATAACATACATTATTATAACTCATATTTAGAGAAATGACATTAGTGAAAAGAAAGAGAGACAGAGAGAGAGAGACAGAGAGAGAGAGAGAGAGAGAGAGAGAGAGAGGGAGAGAGAGAAAGAGATGGAAAGAGAGGAGGTGGGGGTGAAAATGAAATTTTGTGCATTTTGCATGTTGCTATGACAGTTTTAATTCACATCAAAGAGGCGTTTAGTTGTGGGAGTTCTGCACACTCTGCACGAGCATGTTCTGATTGATGGGCAGAGCTTTATAAACTCTGTGGATGTCAGAGTCTTTATCTTACAGAGTCTGTGTGTGTTTATGGTCTTTATCTGGTTAATGTTCTCTCCTCTGGTCTCTTTATAAACTCTGTGGATGTCAGAGTCTTTATCTTACAGAGTCTGTGTGTGTTTATGGTCTTTATCCGGTTGATATTCTCTCCTCTGGTCACTCTGTTAGTTCAGTATACTCCATTATTTTCTTTGACCGACAGCCACCAAACTGCATGCGCTCACTCAGGGCAGGTCCTCAAACTCTACTGCACAGCCACAGCCACAGCTCTAATCCACAGCAATACTGACCTGCACTGCTCTATGTGTTGTTTTTTCATCCAAACTGCATGCAGCTCATCTTCAGTCAGCACTGCTTTACTGAACTAATGCCAGCTTCACACCAAACAACTTTTCAGGTGATTTCACTGTCGCAGACAAATTTACAGTGTCGGAATGAAATCATGAGAGTCCTGCTGGAGTTGCGTCGCGCTCGCGTCGTCTCGATTGGTTGGTGTGAGGTGGTCAGGACAGCAGTCTTAAGTCAGTCTTTTTCTTGTCTTGACGCTGCGTCAAAATCAACCGAGTTTAATATTATCATAAGTTTTAAGTCTTGGCCCATGCGAATGGTGACGTGCCATGGGCACGCGAGAGAGCGAGCGGGCAAGAGAGAGAGAGGGAGAGAGGGAGAGGGAGAGAGAGAGAGGGGGGGAGAGAGAGAGAGAGAGAGAGAGAGAGGGAGAGAGAGAGGGAGAGAGAGAGAGAGAGAGAGAGAGAGAGGGAGAGAGAGAGGGAGAGAGAGCCTGAAATCTCTGTAAAAAGACAAATCTGCTCCACTTTAAAACAATAATCTGTTTTTATTAATGAAAATGTAAACTGGCTGTTTTAGTATCTCAGGTTCTCTGAGTGGAACAGTGATGTGATTAAATGCGCAGAGGACTTTAAGAACGGCTTTACTGAAGAATCAGCAATGATTTCCTGTTTTTGTTTACTGTTACAGTGTTTTTATTATGTTTGTGTGTTTTTGGTTTAGTTCATGACACCTAATCAACAATACTGAATGGCTGCAAGTTCTGTTGATGTGTAAATCTTTATATCAAATTAAAGAAGTAGCTGCACATTTTACAGGTTAGTTAAAGACTCTGGGTGATGATCTGTCAGAGTAAACAGCTCTACAGTGAACTGAGCCCCAGATCTTTACACGCCCAGCCAGCATGTCTTCCCATCTGTACCACTACAGAGTGGAAGGAAAAGGTTTATCTGCTTCTAAATTTCCACCAGGTGCATGATGGGAAATAATCTTCTAGTTGAAGTCTTGTAAACAGTGACATTATAATAAATAATATAATAATAATAATAATATAATATAATAAAGTATCTGCTGATACTCTGATCTCCAATATGTATATATAATCTATATATTGATAGTTCTCTATAGACTCTACAGCGTTATAATAAAGTATCTGCTGATACTCTGATCTCCAATATGTATATATAATCTATATATTGATAGTTCTCTATAGACTCTACAGTGTCAGTGTTATAATAAAGTATCTGCTGATACTCTGATCTCCAATATGTGTATATAAACTATATATTGATAGTTCTCTATAGACTCTACAGTGTTATAATAAAGTATCTGCTGATACTCTGATCTCCAATATGTGTATATAATCTATATATTGAAAAAGTATCTGCTGATTAGTTCAGTATAAGCTCCACTCAGAGGAAGAGTCCGTTTAATTAAGATGATGTTATGATAAAATCCTAATCCTAATCGATCAATAAAGTCTTCATCAGTCATACTCACCGCTCTCCTCTCTGCTCCTGTCCTCTCCTCTCCTCTCCTCTTGTCCTGCTACAGTGACCGAAGCTGCTTTCACACTGAACCCGACAGATTCACCGCTGCGCTTTCAAACACGCAGCATCATAGACAGATCACATGTTTCTGCCGAGTCTCGGCCAATAGGAGAGCAGGACGCGTTTAGAAAGCTAGAGAGCGCGCTGCCCACTTTCCCCCCAAAACAACGAGCGCAGCGCAAACTGGGAGCGCAGTGAAGCGCCTCTCTGCCACATGAGCAGCGCGCGCAGTGCAAACGGCATTCAGAGTGAAAGTAGCTTAACACTGTAGAGTCTATAGAGAACTATCAATATATAGATTATATATACATATTGGAGATCAGAGTATCGGCAGATACATTATTATAACACTGTAGAGTCTATAGAGAACTATCAATATATAGATTATATACACATATTGGAGATCAGAGTATCAGCAGATACTTTATTATAACGCTGTAGAGTCTATAGAGAACTATCAATATATAGATTATATACACATATTGGAGATCAGAGTATCAGCAGATACTTTATTATAACGCTGTAGAGTCTATAGAGAACTATCAATATATAGATTATATACACATACTGGAGATCAGAGGATCAGCAGATACTTTATTATAACACTGACACTGTAAAGTCTATAGAGAACTATCAATATATAGATTATATATACATATTGGAGATCAGAGTATCAGCAGATACTTTATTATAACCCTGTAGAGTCTATAGAGAACTATCAATATATAGATTATATACACATACTGGAGATCAGAGTATCAGCAGATACTTTATTATAACCCTGTAGAGTCTATAGAGAACTATCAATATATAGATTATATACACATATTGGAGATCAGAGTATCAGCAGATACATTATTATAACACTGACACTGTAGAGTCTATAGAGAACTATTAATATATAGATTATATACACATATTGGAGATCAGAGTATCAGCAGATCCTTTATTATAACGCTGACACTGTAGAGTCTATAGAGAACTATCAATATATAGATTATATATACATATTGGAGATCAGAGTATCAGCAGATACTTTATTATAACGCTGTAGAGTCTATAGAGAACTATCAATATATAGATTATATACACATATTGGAGATCAGAGTATCAGCAGATACTTTATTATAACGCTGTAGAGTCTATAGAGAACTATCAATATATAGATTATATACACATATTGGAGATCAGAGTATCAGCAGATAGTATATTGAATCCCTATTAGTTAACTGAGATCATTGTGTTTACTGATCTGATTCTTCAGTGCAGCTGATCAGACACAGAGACTCATTTCATGAAGCTCCTGATTCACTTCTTGTGCAGATGGTGTTTCTGTTCTGCGCTCTGTAGTGAGAAATGGAACAGAGAGAGGGAGATTTTTACATACCACACACTTCTGCTCTCTACTGCCTGCCTCGGTGGGGTTTTGTGGTTGAACTTTGTGTTTGTGCTGTTGATGCCCTTTGACGCCTTCCGATAAGTGGGGCAGATCTGTATATGAGCACTTAGCTGAGGAGTTTCACAGGACTCTCAACCTCATAGTGGGTGTGGCTGTGGTTTAGAAGAATACAATAATAGCATAACTGACCGTATAAGACTCTGATATGTATTTTACAAATGTGTGGAAGAGAAAGCAGCACACAGATCATAGCTGATTTAACTTAGTCACTCAGTCTTCGGGCTGGTATAAAATTTTGAGTCAATTGAATTTCGAATAATAAGTTAACAGAACAGAAATCTGTGTTTTATGTCCTGTAAATATTATTTATATATACTTTAAGACAGACTGGACACTGGACTTTTTAAAAACCCCATTTGTTTTTACAGGGTTCTTAGCTCAGCTCACTGAATTATCTTCAGTGAGATGCTGATATAACAGTGTAAACCAGTTTAAAACACAAAATAAATTAATCTTGTGCTGTGATTGGCCTAATGCAGACTCTGATTAGCTGATGGACCTGATCTGCTTTGTTTACAGAGGCCTGATGGTCAGCAGAGACAGTGGAAGGTCAGTTAGACTCAGATTAATCTCATTCTAAAGTGTTTCATTAGACTGATAAGATCATAACCTAAAGCTTTATGATTATAAGGTTGCTGTGTTTCCTTTATTAAAGATTCATAATAGTTTATCTGTATCTTTTGAAAGTTTGATCTGCTGAGTTTTCACCCAAAACAGCAAACGGCCACAACTGTACATAAACAGACACTGATATGATCAGAATAAGCCTCTCTGGTTAATAAGAGATGGAAAAAGCTATAATCTGACTGATTTCACCCATAGAAAGAAGCTAGAGACTAGGGCCCAATGCCATTTCTTCTTTTTACCCCTACCCCTTGTTTTTGAATGTCAAACGAACCCCTTGGAACTGAGTTACAGGGTAGTGGTTGAAATCTTCCCTCTGAAATGGGACCCTCAAATAAAAAGAGCATCACTTCATTAACAGCTACCAGCGCTGCTCTGTAGGCGACCCTGCCAGTCTGCAGTGACAGCAGAGGAGGGTAAAGTTCAGCTCCTCACTGCTGGGCTTTAGTTACATTTAGGGCATCATATGCCTTCAAAGAGGGGGGCAATTATTTATTATCACCCACCCCTAATTCTTCAGTGATATGAAGCTGAAGTCAGATATTCACCAGATTCTCGTTTGAATTTTCCCGTTCCACCTTAAATGGTGCAGCAGTTACATTCTGGTGCTTCAGGTATCAGAACTGCTGGACTATTTAAGGTGGAACGGGAAAGTTAGCTAGCTACCGAGACATTAGCATACTATTAGAGATTTCTTATGCTTGTTATGAAGAAAACGACTATAATACACTGAAATGACATTAAACTAAGATAATACAGTGGTTTTCATACTTTGTAGTGGAGAAAATTCTCACATTTGTGGGTTTCTTTGGTCTCTTGTTCTCCGTCTTGCCAGTTTTTCTTTTTTTCTCATAACTCTCTGTTTGGAGTTTCTGAAAAACCTCTGTTTTGAGGGTCATGATGCCCAACACTTCACCCTACCCCTCTATCTCAACAAGAATTGGGACACCCTACCCCTAGATGAGAACGCTCAAAACAGAGGGTTAAGGGCTAAGTGGTGGGGGTGAGGCGTGAAATGGGACTGGGCCTAAGAATTAAACTAGGAGAGAGAATAAAACTGCATATATACAGCTTTAAACACTGTTTTATAGTGATATGCATGGCTGGTGTTCATGATTTATTAATATTAGAGCACATCTGATGAAGTATTAAGTTACAGTAAATTGAAACATAATGGTCAAAACATTGACAGTAACAGTAAAATGTTTAGTGTTTTTAATGTTGAATGTACACAAGTACGTAATGAACTTTACTGATGTTTCCCAGTTTTCCAGGTTCTAAAGCAGGCAGAGCTGCTAGAACCCAATCACACTGAGGGATCCGCTGTGTTTGCTAACAGCTGCAGCTGAAGCTAACAGCAGTTTATCAAAACCTTTACTCTCCCAGATGAAGATAAAGTCTCCAAACACTATGACATCACCAACTCGTGCAGCAGAGTGTACACTAGGACGGTATGTGGATGTGTACATTTATATCTTCAGAATTATGGCTTTGTGGAGAGTTTGCTACAAGGCCACATTAGCTACAAGCTAACGTACATTCAGGCAGAGCTGCACCACATCCTGTCTAACACACAGTGCACTGGTTGGGTGTAGAACCCGTGAGTCCTACTCAGGGACTAAGGAGCCCTCTGAGACTCAGCCATGGTCATGTTCTCCTGCTGAACCAAAATAACAGGAACAGCAGGTTGTTGTGTTTAACCCTCTCATCTCCCTGAACTCTGACCTGAATGATTTCATACAGAGCTGGGAGATACGGCACAAACGCAACATCACAACACTTAGAGAAGATTTCATGATTCACCACGTCACCATGTTTATGTTTACTGACATCTGATAAGATAGATCAGACAAAATGGAGCCACATTTAATAAACACTATGAAAACCTATGAAACATTTCAGATATTACACTGGACTAAATCCATTAAACAGGACTAGTTATGATCTCTTTTTAAACCAGACATGCAGCTGGGGAGTGTGTATTAATGTACTGGTGATGTCCATGATAGGCTCTGATTGGGGCATTAGCTTAGCTGAGGTTCAGAGTTTAACCCCAGTTTAAACCTGAAAGAGAGTCTTAAACTCCATCACTTTGTCCTCAGAAGCTGCAGTTTAAAACACACCTGTGGATTAAACTAAACCCAATTTCTGTGTCATTTAAAATCAAACATCTGCCTGATAAAGACACGGTTTAACTGAGGTTTAGAAAGATGATCATAGCTGAAGCCCATTTTCAGCTCAGACATTAATATTTAATACCTATACCTACAAACATACCTCCTCCATAATGCTCTGAGGACTCCATGGCCTGTTCTAATATAATGCTGTAGTACTTTACTGAGGTTCTGCACTAAACTGGAGGAGGTGTTTATCACTGCAGTCTTGATTAGTCTTTCAGAATATTCAGTGAAGCTGGAGATGAGCTGTGGTTATGTTAGTACAGGTACTGACTGAAAAAGGGAAACTGTGGTCACATCACACACCTCATCTCAAAACCGCTCATTCTTCTTTCCTCCACACTCACACACAGGAAAGACACAGTGAATGACATGAGTCGGCTTGTAGCTTCTGCTAGATTAAAACCAGAGGATGAGGTGGAAATAAAACAGGCTGTTACTGAGTTCTGAAGGGAACTGAAGGAAGATTAACATTTTGATCTCTGTATGTGAAAATGGTATATATGAGTGTGTGTGTGTGTGTGTGTGTGTGTGTGTGTGTGTGTGTGTGTGTAGGTGTGTGTGTGTGTGTGTGTGTGTGTGTGTGTGTGTGTGTGTGTGTGTAGGTGTGTGTGTGTGTGTGTGTGTAGGTGTGTGTGTGTGTAGGTGTGTGTGTGTGTGTGTGTGTGTGTGTGTGTGTTGTTTTTGTTTGATCTTGTTTTGGTCAATCAACCTTTATTCTCATTACACATTGAGAGTGACTAATTTT